CAGATAATTACACTCAGGTCAAGAACTTCCTCACACAGGTCAACTCTCCTAGAACTATGGGGAGTGAGAATTTTTCTAGTAGAAACCCTTCAGCAATAAATTACTCAGGCTCTTGGAAGAATAAGATCCAATCAGCCAAACTCAATAGGGTCCAATCTGGAGCTTACACAGCCAGTCTTTATAATGTAGAGCTTACGGTGCCCAAAGCTAGACAACATTCTCTGTTAACAGCCTGTATAGCAGACTTGATACCCTTTGTGTTCCTATAATACTAGCCAGGTTATCACATGTTTTGACAGGACTGATCCAAAAGCCCAGAAGACCTGAGATTGTGGCCTTAATATTTAGATTAAGAATGCTAACCAAATCAGTCAACACACACAAATCCATATTGGCATCTTTCATGAAGATGAGTTCTTGGGATTTCTGTATCTCTTTGCCTACTTTTATGTCAGAGCAAACCCCACCTCACTGACCAGATGCCTCTGTTGGTGACAGTGATTGCTGTAGAGAACAGGGCCACTCAGCTCTCCAAAATTTTAGAGAGAGATGTTGTGCAAACATCAGTAAAGAGATCTTTTAGCTGACATATTAGAGCCACTTTATACATACAAAAACTACAGGTATTTTCCCTGTGGGAGATTATTGTTATCTCTATCATTACCTAAAGACATTTGAAGAGCATCTGCTTCTAAAACACTAGCAAAACCTGGGTGTTACCGAGCATGTCTAGTTCTGACAGGACAAGATAAGCATGGAAGACAGTGAAGGGCTATGCTGAAAGAGTGCACAAAACTTGTTTATTCCTCCTGGACTTTTTCAGGCTCATTCTCTATGATGTCTGGACACGTTGTCTGTCTTTGCTTTCTCCTAATCATTTTTCCATCCATGACAGAACTTCTCATTCCTCCTATCCATGCTTTCTCATGAGGGTAATCCTTCTGTTGTATTTTAAAGCAAACCACTATTTGTTTTAGGCAGCAAAATATTAAATCCTAGTTATTTGGTGCATAAATTCTATACTTCATACTTCATACTATATTTCATACTTTACAAGTAATCTTCTTGATAATAAAAATGTGAACCTTGGACAAAGAAATGCACGGTTGCAAACATTCACCTTATTTTAAGTGAGAAGAGATATATTGATGGGGTAATAAATGGTACATAACATTATCTGATAATTTTTTAATCCTCCGAAAGTCTAAACTACATGATGTACTATTATATTTAACTTCTCGAGGAAATCCTAGTCATTTTAAATAATAGAATCATGCTTCATGTAGAGCCTCTTTTCAGATCTACACGTATGTGTCATTCTTACCATGTTCCACAAGAAAACGCCTGAAATCTAGCAAATGGACATCTTTGCCTAGGGGACCACAGGACAAGTTAGTGGTCAAATGAAAACTGAATGATCAGGGAAGACTTTCTTCCCTTCCCCAGGAAAGCAAGTGCAACTTTACTGCAGCTATGTTATTGGTCTAAGGAAGGAAGAATTGAGAAGTGTGCTCACCTCCCATTTCACAGAAAATTATACTGGCTATCATATGTGAATTCCCTCATGGCCCTGCCACAAACTTCCATGCTTTTGCTTCAACCTTATCTCTTTCCTTATCACATCAAGGGACAAGATTCTCTCCCTAAATCCTGGGTGTGTCTCCATATGTGCTCTCCATCATGTCTTCAGAGACCTCCTTCTTCAATTATCCTCACTTGCTTAGCCATTTGCACTATTTTTCTCTTTTAGAATTTTCAAGTATGCATATAAATATATTGAAACCACCCCCATGTTAAAAACCACTCTTTTTTTTTAACATTTTATTTATTGATTTTAGAAAGAGAGGGAGAGAGTGCAAGCGAGCAGTTGGGGGGAGGAGTAGAGGGGAAAGGAGAGAGAACCAGAAGCAGACAACACACTCAGCATGGAGCGCACGCTGGGCTCGATCCCAGACGGCAAGATCATGACCTGAGCCGAATCCAAGAGTCAGACGCCTAGCAGACTGAGCCACCCAGGTGCCCCTAAAAACCACTCTTTTTTAAAAAAAATACTTTTTTCTAACCATTTTCCATTTACAGCATAGCTTTGTATATAAAAAAAAGTCAGTAATTGAGAAATTGAGTCTCTTACCCTACAAAGCAATGAAACTCAAGACTTCCTCCACACGAATTCATTGTCTATATAGTTTTGCCTGAGTTCTACACTCATCTATTCAACTTCTTATGATGCTTTTTCCCTTGGCAATATCAAAGATAGCTTAAGGTCAATAGGAATGAAAATTTAACTCATTATCTATCTCCTCTAAATGTTTACTCTCCATGTAATCTCTGTCTCTGAGAATGCTACCACCATCCACCCGTGGATACCCAACTCCAAAACTTAAATTATACTAAATGTCATTCTTTCCTTCACCTTCAGTTTCCAACAAGCCCAAAAGTTCTATGTATGTCAACTATTTCTTCAGTATGCCACAACTGCCCATTTCCTGTGTCATTCTCTTTAGTGAAGGCTCTTGACCCTCTGCCTAGATTATTGAAATGGCTTTCTAACTAGATTTCCCTGCTTTCAACCTGACCACTATTAAATCCACTTTCCCTTCTATTGGTAGAGTGATCTTCCTAAATTTAAGTTATTGAAAATCTTTCAATTTTTTTACTTTACCAACAAATTCAAGCTCCACAACATGATGTCAAGATGTTTATCATCTAGTCCTTGACTACACGTCTAATCTTATCTCAGCCAACTGCCATTGCCCCATATCCTATACTCCAACCATATTAAAACATTTTTGAGTGGCCAAATATGTCATACTTTCTCATAATCATATGATTTCATACATCTTCCCTTTGCCCAGGAACATTCTTCCCTCTGTTTTTCTTCCATTCCAATTATATTAAAACTCTGAAAATTACTCAAGGGTTATGGTTCAACTGATGTGTTTGGCTGCTGCCCCAATCCTCCTCCAGATCTGTGTTGATTCCTTTTCTCTATGTTCTCAGAGACTTTTGTGTTGACCTCTTCCTAGCACTTTTTTTTTAAATTATGATAAGAACACTTAACATGACATCTACTCTCTTAACAGTTCTTTAAGTGTATAATACAGTATTGTCAATTACAGACACAGTGTTGTACAGCAGATCTCAGAACTTAATCATCTTGCATAACTGAAACATTATTCCCCCCTCCCCTCTAGACCCTGACAACCACCATTCCACACCATGCTTCTATGACTTTGACTATTCTAGATACTTCATATAAGTGGAATCATGCCGTGTTTGTCCTTCTGTGGCTGGCTTATTTCATTTAGCATAATGTCTTCAATGTTCATCTATGTTTTCACACATTGACAGATGTCCTTCTTTTTCAAAGCTGAATAATATTCCATTGTATGTGTCTACCACATTTTCTTTATCCATTCATCTGTTGATGAACATTTAGGTTGTTTCTACACCTTGGCTATTGTGAATAATGCTGCAATGAACATGGGAGTTCTAATATCTCTTTGAGATCCTGATTTTAATTCTTTTGAATAAATTTCTAGAAGTGGAGTTGCTGGATTACATTACAAAGCTACAGTACTTTAAACAGTATGGTACTGGCATAAATACAAACAATTAGACCAATAGAACAGACTACAGAGCCCAGAAATAAATCCATGCATATACAATCAATCTTCAACAAGGGTGCCAAAAATATACAATGGAAAAAGGATGGTCTTTTCAACAAATGGTGCTGAAAAAACTGGATATACACATGCAAAGGAATGAAATTGGACCCTTACTTTATATCACACACAAAAATCAACTCAAGCTGAATTAAAGACAAATATAAGACCCGAAACTGTAAAAATGTTATTTAAAAAAATGAGGAAATTTCATGACATTGGTTTTGCCAGTGATTTCGTGGCTATGAAAATGGCTTTTAAAAAATATAGGCAACAAGGGGTGCCTGGGTGGCTCAGTCGTTAAGTGTCTGCCTTCAGCTCAGGTCATGATCCCAGGGTCCTGGGATTGAACCCTGAATTGGGCTCCCTGCTCCGCAGGAGGCCTGCTTCTCCCTCCCCCACTCCCCCTGATTGTGTTCCCTCTCTCACTGTGTCTCTCTCTGTCAAATAAATAAATAAAATCTTTAAAAAAGTATATAGGCAACAAAAGCAAAATTGAATAAGTGGGACTATTTCAAACATAAAAGCTTCTGCAAAGCAAAGGAAACCATCAACAGAGTGAAAAGTCTTCCTAGCACATTTTATACTGCCTCTAATTTGTTCCTTTTCTCAGTTTTCTTCATGTATATACATTGCTTGCTTAATGAGTGACCTGGAAAGCCAAACCCTATGATATTCAGGATCAAAGCTGAAGGATGATTCTTCTCTTAGTGATTTTGGCAGGGATGGGAAGAATGGGAAGAAAGTGGATTGGAAGGAGGAGAGAAAAAGATTTTTACATAAGCTTCCTGGGAAATTTACCAGATATTATTGGATATTAAGGGATTACTCCTTGTTTCTTACTGGCCCCTAGTTTGAAGACATAAGTATAACGATTTACAGAAAAATGAGATCTCTCTATTATGGGGAAAACATTTCCCCAAAAGTCGATTAATTTCTCAGCTGGTCTTCATGATAGATGTTATGAACAACCAATGACACTTCTTTCTTTTTTTAAAAAGATTTTATTTATTGATTTGAGAGAGAGTGCGAGGGAGAGCACGTGAGAGAGCAAGAACGGGGTGGGAGGGGCAGAGGGAGAGGGAGAAGCAGAGTCCCCGCTGAGTAGGGAGACCGACTTGGGGTTCGATCCCAGGACTCCAGGATCATGACCTGAGCTGAAGGCAGACGCTTAACCAACTGAGCCACCCAGGTGCCCCAACCAAGGACATTTCTATCTTAGACATGTAGACATGGTTCTAAATTCTCTTCTTTAACCATATTCTCACAGCCTAACTGCACAACAAGACTGGAGGTTGAACTCGCTGAAGAACCAAAAGGATGGAAGCACCTTACCTGAGACAATACAAATATAAAATCAAAGAAGAAATGATGAACAGGAGGCTGTAAATTAGCACTGTGAGCATTACACTGAGAACTCCTGAATGCTTGGTTCTTACAAACACCCAGTAGAGCTTTGCTGCATCAGCTACAGGAATCTCCCCATTATGAGTAAGCCGCTGAGAAAAGAAAATACAAGAAATAAGGATGGAAATACTGATCATCAAGTTAGATGAATTTAAATACACAAAAACCATATGATACCATAATTTGTTTTTAAATTAAATTCTCAATGTATTAAGATCACCAGATCTTCAGCTACACAAAGGAAAAGAAAAAGACTGGGTTTGCATGGCTGGTTTACCAGTTTTTTTTTTCTCATTTTCCCTATAAGCTTTTAAATGTATATACTCTACATGAAATTCATAAAGTAAAAGCCATGTATTATTTACGTACTATTAACTCCTGAATTTAATGAGCACAAGATATGAAGAAATTAAATATGATGGTGGAAAGATCCCTTTCTTTCTGAAGCAGATTTGAAAGGAATTTAATTTGTACTATGCATAAAATAGATGGCTTATTTTAGAAACTTATAAAAAAGTTATCAGGCTATTTAATGGGAGCTTGAAAACCAAAGTTTACATTAGGTCAATTTAACAATAAGTCTTTCTTTTAGACAAGGAACAACATATTCTATATTGAGTTAGAAATAAATACAAGGCAATGAGGTCTTTAAAAACGAATATTAAATGCTACAGACCTAGAACATTGTCATTGACGTCTTTGACCTTTGAGTTTTACAAAACGTAAATGTTCTGTAATTATGACTCTTATGGTATCAGGTGGAAGTAATATGCAATATAGATATAAATAAAATATATTTTCTTCAGTGTAAGAAAGAAGAATTTCTTTACATTTTAAACTGACTATAATACTTAAGTATAGCTTAAAGGGACATGGTCAGAACTAATCCATATCACATACATACAAATAAAAACAGAAGCTCAGAGAAGTTAATCTGTATTTTCCCTACATCACAATATCCTTTAACATCTGGACAATGACTAGTAGTCAGATATTCTGACTCCCAACTGATGTTTCTTTCACCTAAAAAAATTCTTTTCATCTAAAAAAATTTAGATTTTTATATTCTGTACTTGTTAATAGGTCGACCTTGCAGAATGTGAATCTGTCACATGGACTTCAGGCAGAAGATCTGTAAGTGTTGTCATACATTTCTCCTATTCTAGATCTTCCCCTTCTGCTATTTCTTAAAGGTAAAGAAACAGATGCGGGATTCACTGATGACACATACTAAAAATGATAGATATGTGATGCCAGTAACATAATCTAATCAATAGATGCTAATCATTCATTTGGCCCACACACATCGTTGTGAATGCCCACCATGTGTCATTAAGCTCTGAAGATAGAAGAGTGAATAAAATTAGACAAAAGCCCTACGTTCTTCAAGTTTACATTTAAGTTGGGGTAGGGGTGGGGGATAAGCATGTAGGTAAGATTAAGTAATAAATATGGTATATTAGAAGATGGCATTTTGAAGAAAAACATGAAGCAGAAAAAAGTACAGGAGGGATGGAGGTCTATTATTAAATACTGCAATCAGAAAAGCTGTCATTTGAACAAAGACTTGAAGGATGTAAGGGAACAAGTGGTATGCCTACCAGATGGCATTCATCACACACTGCCCATACTTCATCTTTGTGTGTGCGATTCTCCAACTAGACTGTAAGTTCCTGCCTGGATCATGGGCAATGGCTGTTACATCCTATATTGTACACAGAGCATAAGTATCATCACTTCATTATAACCCTCATCCTTGTTCCTTTCAGTTTATATGTATGGTGCCTTAGATTTTTCAAAGTGTATTTCCAATTGGTTGTCCCAACAATACTGTGAAATGAGTAAGGTGCATGTTACTATCTGTAGGTACTATTACTTTTTTTGTGATACATATGAAGAAGTTGAAGACTGACTTATCCAACGTCATATGGCTGACAGATGGCAGAGCTGATACCAGAACCCACTTTCCCCGACTCCAAATCTATGCTCTTTCTATTAATCTGTGATGACTTCTAATGGATTTTCAAGAATGATTTGCTGAATGAAGACACTTGTAGTCTACCTTTGTGTGATCTTTGTTCTTAAGTGTTCTTATTCTTATCTATATTGAGGGCAGAAACAATGCCATACTTACTCTGTTTGTTTTAAAATCCTGTGCAGAGAGTATATAGTCAATAAATACATGCTGATCAATTAAAACATTCAATAGCAAATCCTCCCTCTACTTTTTATCTAGATTTGGGCTCAGGCAGAGAAAGAATTTATGAACTCAGTGGAATTGTTGTATCATCAATGGGGGTCCGGGAATGCATTGCCAACCTCTGAGCCAGCAAACTGAGAGACTAACAAAATGTTATTAGCAACATCAACAACCACTCAATGCGTCAGCCTCAAACCATTCCATCTGCCACATCTCCTTTTAGATTGCCATAAAAAAATGAATCCAGAACAAAATATATCGGTAAAATAAGGTAGCCTCTCTCTTGGCTGGCTGATCAGGATCAAATACAAGTGATCCCTGGCTTTCTCTGCTAAAAGGAAGTGCTGAAAGAACTGCAAGTATGAACCCAGGCAAGTTGAATCTCATGAGTGACATTCAATCTATGATAACTATGATCCCATGTGGAGCAGTAGTTCACCAAATTTAATGAGCATGCGAATCATCTGGAAGGCTTGTTAAAACACAATAGCCCCTTCTCAGAGGCTGGGCTCCTTCCCAGAGTTTTTCACTCCATAGATTTGGTGCAGGGCCTGAGATTTTGCATTTCAATTTGCAGTGCAATTAAGTTCCCTGGTGAAACTGATGCTATTCATCCAGTGGACCTCACTTTGAGAACCACTGCTTCAGAGCAGTACTTCTCAAACTTGGTGTGCGGAGTCGCTGGAGAGCATGTTAGAATGTGAATTTTGGTTTAATTAATGGGCGTGTCCTTGTGTGAATTGCAAGGCTGCTGCTCTGTGGATTAGCTGCAGCTTTAAAGGTTTTTTTAAAGACAGCAAAATTAGATGTCATCTGCAATGAAGCCTGATGGATTCTAACTGGAGAGTCAATAATTGTGCAGATTGAGAACGAGCCTTCAGCTTTTCTTTCCAAGTGGAGAAAGATATGGGTGCTATACTCATCTATTAGAATCCAAGTCAGCTTCCATCAGGTTACAGACCTCTGAACTGGTGCTGAGATGGCCCTGCTGGAGGCTACTTTCCTGTAGATTACATCAGAGGCCCCAGAGTAAATTTAGACTGCTCATTTTGTCAGCTGCCTTTGATACAGTGGACCATTTAGCTATTAATCTCTCTAGAGGACCTGATTGGAATAAGGAAAGCCATTCCAGGAGGGCTGCAGACATTCTGTGTGCTGAGATCTCAGAAGATGACAGACAGAGCTGCTCATCCTCCCCAAATGGCTCCACCTGTGGGGTTGCAATAGGATTGGACTGGCACCCCATCTGTTCAATATGCCCATCAGGCCTCTGGGAGGAATTGGGAGATGCCATGGAATATGACCCCAGCAGGATGCAAACAGCATTTTTCTCTACACCTCCTGCTCAACCAACCTTGACCGCATGGTCTCCCCCTCGCTAATCGAAAGTTTGAGGGAAGTCGGAATGTGGACAAAATCCACTTGGCTCCAGCCCAACATATGTAAACCAATTGTAAAACTTTTCTTTTTCTTCTTGAAAGGAGAAAGACACCAGTTATGGAATAGTATTTGATCAATTAAGATAATTTTATAAATGACTGTTTGATCACATTGATTTATTTATAGTATCCATCTGCTCTCTTGCTTGGGGCTATATTTCATAGCCAGATCTACAGTATAAAAATTTAGTTAAAATTCAGATTTCCTTTCATCTCATGAGCATCACGAAAGTCAAAATAATTGTCTATGGAATAAGTTTTTAAACTTGATTACTTAGAGTTGTTTAAAAAGCTCTACTTCTTCTTGAGTATATTTATTATAGAAGAGTATTAGATCACAAAGCAAATAAGTAACCTAACAAATTGAAGGAACTACTATATGGTTACTTTTTAAATAAAGTTTGGCTGTGAAAACCCTTATTACTAAAAAAGAGTCACCAACAAAAAGTTACCAAATAAAATTTCTCTGTAATAATTGTGAAAATGCACCAATTAGTTTGAATTTAATTGCCAACATTATTTCCTGCTTATTCTGCAAATGTTCATTTAAGACAGTTATAAACACTTCAATTGATTATAATAGACATCCGTCATTTTTATGATGAGGAAAAACTTAACTTCAATTTAAGAGAAATATTAAATTGTTCATGATTACTGAAACTTCCCATGTCAACCGATTCATGCACTAAAGCTAAATTCTATGTCAATAACTCATATCCTGATTATTTTACTTGACTTACCCCCAGGACAGTATCCACTAGACCCACTGCCAGTGGGTCTAGAACTGTCCATAGTCCCATGGTAATGATTAACTTTGACAAGACGTCAGGGCAGGAGGCAAACAGTAGCTGACAGCCCCATCTGATCAGAACCAAAGGAAGTATCGCTGCATTCAGCACTAAAGGTCCCACCACAACCACAAGCAACTCTTCTCTGATTTGAAGTGAGGAAGTTGAGTAGCAAAGCTCAACCGTGAAAGGGGAAAAATGGAATCTGTGGGAAAATAAAGCAACCACATATGTGTAAACAAGAGAAACTATACAAGATGCCAGGTATACAGAATAATTTTTAAATTACATGCTTCCTTTTCTCATATAGAAAAATTGACACTTAATACTACCCCCAAATTGGGTGTCAGAAGGTTTCATCTTTTCCCAACCTCATAGGACCACCACGAGAGCTCACATTCCAGTAAAAGGCAAATTCTATCTTGGCCATTTTTCTTATGTCATAGGCAACCACAGAAAGAATAACAATTTTATCCACCGAACAGAGTATTCTCCAAGAACTGCCCTGCAGATAACACATACTCACAGGTAGGCTATGTGGAATGCAAAATATACCCCAGTGGACTTAGTAATGGGTCAACCTCTATCAGAAACCAGAAATGTAAGCCAGTCTAATCATTCTTCCGAGTTTTAACATACCCGATTAATTTTGCTGTGCTTCCTCTAGATAGACTCTCAAATACAGAACAACACTGCTCTGCTACTAACAAAAATATCCTATCTCTTAGCTGTTTGAAAAGGGACAACTTGACACAACCTAAAAACTGAAGGGTCAAATCCAAGGTGAGCCCAGCAATTCAAGGAGCCTTGACACAGGCATTGGCACCCTCTTTCTACAGTGAAGTGACACTTCATTGTGCTCTGTTTTCCCTCCCCTCTATTTCAGCCTTTGTCATTCTGCTCGTGGACCCTCTTTGCCAGCTCTCTAGTAAAAAGAGTTCTTCATTTTATCCACTCCCTGAGCTTTGCTTTGAAGGAAATTTTAAGCATTGCTCTTATGCCGTTGTGAATGTCAAATGAACCAATGTGTGTACATTTCGTAGCAGAGGACCGAACATAGAGTAAGAGCAGAAGAAATGCTCGTAGTCTCTGTAGTTACTGTCATGTCTCCTAACTCCAGTGTGACATGGAGCTAATGTAGGATTTAAGCCTGAAGATCTAGACAACAGCCAACAAAATATCCTATCCTATCTTAGGTCTTCTGATGCTTGAGAAATCAGATAAACCGGGCTGCCAAGATATTTTTCTTGAAGTCCCATTTTTTTCAACCAATAAAAATAGAGCTTTCTTTTTTTTTAATTGTAGAAGTAAAAGAGCGGTTAGCAAAAAGCAACTAGCTCAAGCATATGACATTTGTCCTTTCTGCTTTGGAATCCCTCACCCAAAAGAAAGAAAAAAGAAAGAGAGAGGGGAAAAAAAGAGGGAAGAAGAGAAGAAATATAATATCTACGTAAAAATTCTCCCTTGAAGATACAGTAATTTAGTATATGTGAATATGCATATTCCAGGGCATTTACATATTTGTGATTTAATTTCAAAGCACGGTCAAAAGCTCTATATGTGTATATATACGCACGTATTCTTTTTCACAGCATCTTAAAGTCGTTTGCAATCTTCTTAATTGAAAATATACACACATCTTTATTTTTATCTGCAACATCTACATTTGAGAAAATGAATTTTACTTGTATTGATTTCTATCTGTTTGTCTCTATATAGTGTCTTTGGAATCGTGTTTATGGAGAGATAACCTGCGAAGTGTCATCTTTTTCCAGAGTACAATGGCCCAGAAAGCTGTCTGGGCTTGAGTTTGGTAATTGTTTGAATTCAATCACTTTGCAGAAGAAGCAATCTTTGCCTCCCTGAGCATAGGTGATAAATCATACTTACATTACTTCTAAAATACCTTCAGCCTGAGTCACTCTGATAAAATCAAAACAGAATAAAATACAGTTGCTAAGTTCCTTTTTGGGTTCTGCTCAGAGAGCAGAACATACTTGAATCTGCTAAATTTTAGTTAAATATTGATGTGCCAGTTATGTATTTGTATATATACACGGCCCATAAGATGAGAATGTAACTGTAATCGACGTTCTTGCTCTTAGATAAAGACATTTTTGTCTCTTCAAATCATACCCGTCTTTTAGGTCTTCTGGCAAATGGATGGAGAGGAGTTTTGCACTTTCATCTGGATGATCGAGATGAAAATGCATCCCTTTGACTTGCGGGGGAAAGCACTCACTTTGTAACAGGAGTTGAAATGGCCTGGAGGAACAGCCACTGGCTAAGGTAATGCAGGTAGAGCCTCAGGAACCAGAGGGAAGCCATCAGCAGGATAATGTACCAGAAGCCCTGGCTTCGCCACTGAGCTAGCTGAAGTTCTGAAAACACGGACACCCGCACAAAATGGAGATGCTTGAGGAGTCCTCCAGATCCAGTACCACCGGCAACGGAAAAACAGCTGCAGACAAAGCAATAATGAATTTGGAGCTTAAGGTAAACTTAAAGCAATAAAATATCTTGAAACCATAATAAAGACATTGTGAAAGTGAAATGGAATGAAATTATTTCATAAATACTCGGACTCAGGTTACTTAGGTTTCTTTTTGCTGTAATGGAGGACTAAAAGGGACTGTGGAGATGGGTATTATTAAGGAGGGCACGTGTTGTAATGAGCGCCAGGTGTTATACACAAACAATGAATCATGGAACACTACATCAAAAACTATAATGATGTACTGTATGGTGACTAACATAACATAATAAAAAATAAATAAATAAATAAATAAATAAATAAATAAATAAATAAAAGGGACCATGGAAAGAAGCATGCAAATGGAAATGGAAAACAAAATCAAAATGAGGTATCTCTTCACATCTGCTAGGATGACAACTGTCCAAAAAAGAAAAAAAAAGAAAGAAAAGAAAGCCAGAAAATAACAAGCGTCAATGAGGGTATAGAAAGATTGGAACTCTTGTACACTACCGGTGGGAATATGAATTGGTGCAGTTGCTGTGGGACACAGTATGACAGGTTCTCAAGAAATTAAAAATAGAGCTACCATGGGGTGTCTGGGTGGCTGGGTCAGTTGAGCGTTCAACTCTCGATCTCGGCTCAGGTCATAATCTCAGGGTCGTTGGATCTAGCGCCATGTCAGGCTCAGTGCTGGGCATGGAGCCTGTTTGAGATTCTCACTCTTCCTCTCCCTCTGCCCCCCCCATTTATGCTCCCAAAAAGAAAAGAAAAGAAAGAAAAGAAAAGAAAAGATACGAAACAAAACGAAACGAAGCAAAAAGAAAAGAAAAGTAGAACTAGTATATGATCCAGCAATATTCCTTCTGGGTATATATCCAAAAGAATTCAAAGCAGAATCTCAAACAGATATTTGTACACCTCTGTTCATAGCAGGATTATTCACAAAAGCCAAAAGGTAGAAGCTACCTAACTGTCCATCAAATGAAGTATTATTCAGGCTTAAAAAGGCAAGACCTTCTGACACCTGCCACGACATGTATGAACCTAGAGGACATTATGCTAAATGAATTAAGCCAGTGATATAGAGACAAATACCGCATGATTCCACTTATTTGTGGTAGGTAGAGTAGTCAGATTCACAAAGATATAAGGTAGAATGAAGTTTACCAGGGTCGGAGTGGGGAGGGGTTTAATCGTATAAGGTTTCTGTTTTGCAAGATGAAAAAGTTGTGGCGATTGCTTGCGCGATGATGTGAATGTACTTAACATTGCTGAACTGTATGTTTAAAAATGGTTAAGATGATAAATTTTATGTTTGTGTATTTTACAATAATAGGACATTTTAAAAGAAATATGGAAAGAATTATTATGAATAAACTTATTTTAAAAAATCTTTAAAATCCATAATATATTCCTGTTTATCTCACCTACCCACAATGATCTTTATTAAAATTAGATTTTGTTATTTACCTACACCTTGTTAAAAGTTAACTATTTTATTTAAAAAATTGAAATGAGTTATTAAGATACCATTGAAAATATGCAAATGAGAATTTGAAACTTTAAAGTTCTCTTATTCCTTAACACAATACTGACATTCTGTTGAAACTACACATAAAATAATTACATGCAGGGTGTTCTTTCTGATTTGGGCCAGGTTTCCTCTTTCTGTTTGGTATTGGGATCAAGAGATGTTTTCAAAGTTTCTAAAATTAGAGTTTTTGCAGGAAAGAAGATGAAGAAGTATCTGAAAATAAGTTAGAGGCAGAACTCATTCCCCACCTAATCCCAAGGATACGTGCAGGGAATACACAGTAGAGTTCCCATAGTTTGGTGACTAAAAGTATAAGCTCTGGACTCTGCCTGCCTACACAGAATTCCTTTCAATGCCTTAGCTTGCTCATATGGAAAGGGCGGATGATAACAGTACCCACACACCAGGGTCAGTATGATGACTAAGTTAAGAGCTGTGAAACACTGAACAGTGAATCCTGTGCTGTCATCACAAAATATCAAACACCCAATGCACTGCTTCGCCCTCTTCCCATATTTACCAGAACTACTTTGAAATAAGCTGACCTTCCATCAAGCCCAAGAAATGTAGGAGATGAATGATTCCTTTTATTTTTAAAGGAATGTGTTATGTGCATATGTTGCTTCATTCAAACAGTAAATATCATCAGTATATACTATCACCAGCTTAACAGAATGTCAGTTTTGTTAAATCAGTGATCTATCTTTATGAAAACTAGGCTCCGGGTCCCGGATTAGCGTGTCTGATTCTATTCCAGAAAAATATTCTAGAATAATTCAGTAAATTCCTCAACAAAAAATGGCCCTGATTAAAAGCATCTTACCAAAGGAGAAGCTAGTATGATAGGAAGCAGCCCAGCGACAGTGATAAACCACAGAGAGTCGAGGCAGTGTGAGAACATAACAGAAATGAAATTCATAGATTCAAAAGATCGTATATACAAAAGCTCACCTCTCTCTGAAGACTATCTAAATATGATGATAATTGCACCATGAAAAGGGGAAGATAAATAATAGAAACAAGAGTCTTTGAGGGGATAAAAGAAAAAAAAACCTGATAACAGAAAGTAAAAGAAAAACATACTGTCCTTAGAACTCCAATCCATGACTTTAGCTTTTTGGTCTGTGCAGGACTCATGAGGCACTAAACTTGACACTGGCAGTTCTTTTTTGTTGTTTTTGTGTGTATTTTGCCATGAAGGTGAAAAGCATCATCCAACCCATCGACGTGCAGTCTGTTCTTTGCGTGCTTTTCAATTATACAAATGAGGAACAGCTAAACAGGAAACAGGCCCCTGAGAGGTTTTGGTTTCCCAATGGTAACAGAGTCCTCATAGAAGGATTCCAGAATACCTTACTACATTTATCATCATGTGAAATGAAGCCCAGAACTTTCTACACTGCTAAAGCAAAATATTCTGTGCATGCTCCTCTTCAGTTAATTATTCTGTTGCTGTTTTGCCTCTTCAAAGAGAAGAGAAAATCAAATACAGATTTGGCATTGTGCTGTTTGCAAAAACCCAGAAAATCTCAAATGATGCAAAACAGAAGAGACAGTAGTTTATTTGACCTTTGGAAATTTCCACTGTTCTCTTCATATCCATTGATATAAATGACTAAGCAGTTTAAATGTTTATGCACAGAACCCACCATAAACTCATGATTTGTCATTACTTTCATGGATAAATATTTCCCACTCACATTCAGATACACATATTTGTTGGTGGGACATTTGAGTTAGGGCAAATAACACTAAAGTCTGACTGTGTACCATTTATATCGAATTCAAAATACTTAGTTACATTGTACCTCGTCAACACAATTCACTATTTGTTTTTACTTGTTTGTTTAACAGTGATAACTCTAATATCTGGATCCCAGTAATTAGGAAAGACCTGGAATCAATCATTTAGAGTCTGAAAAATTGTATACTTCAAAGTTAGAAGTTAATACAGGAATTAGTTGATGCTAGATGGTGGCAAATAAAAGCAAGGATCAACAAGCTTGTTAGGTGAACAAAATTCATCAAGGAGCACCTTACAAACAATCCCCATATGATAGTGACAGTCCTTTTCTCTTAATCATTTTGAATTTGTACCTGAAATCCAAATGGGTACTAACAGAGAATTACATCCACGACTATCTCTCCAGAAGTCGTTCTCGAAATATATTTCATTCAAAAGAAAATCCTGCAACCATGTTTTGAAATTTTCTTGAAAGAAAGCATCTCTTTTATTCTTGTATACATGTAAGGCACATTATAAAATGCAGTGCCATTGTACAAGATCTTCATCCACATTTCAACTGTTCTTTCCTTCCTCTATAATCTTTCTTGGTTATGTACAAAGAGTATGACCATCAAAAGGATAATAAATGGCCTCTGCCACTGGGGTGTGTAATACGTATAGTGGGAATTGATTTGTTGGTTATGAAGGAAGCCATAGAGCACACAGATCACTGCAAAATCACATTGAGGCCAGCAGCTACTCCTCAGTTCATGCAGGCAACTCCTCTATTGCTCACAGGGTGAGCTGCCAGAGGCTGAGAAGAATGGTCAGGTCATCCAGTATTCAGCTATTAAATGAAACCTATTTCTCTGAACTTCAGCCACATTTCATATGACACACATATATCCCCCTTCCATGCCCAGTCCTTATAGAGACCCGATATCAAACAAGATTTCTATGATCCATCAGTGTAATAATAAAAAAAAAAAAAAAAAGACCAAAATTGCTTTGGAAGAAAAAAAAGCACAGAATGCATTCTTAAACTCTCTTCGACTGTGAACAGGAGTCCTTAGGGATTTGTAGACAACAAAAACCCATCATTCATCAGCTGTGCATAATAATCCTTTTAAAAAGACACTATAGATAAATGGCACTAAAATTTCCATATTCCCTTTTTCTGGTATAACTAGCCATAGTCTAAATGTAGCATTTTTTTTAAATCAAGTTTGTGTGTGTGTGTGTGTGTGTATAATTCCTTTATTTGAGTGTTTCTCATTTCTCTTTTTATCATGTTCCATTTATCAAGTTTTGGAACATGGAATCCTCAGTGACTGTGAGACTTTCCTAAGGCTTAATAGTCAGTATTTCAGGGAGTCATTCTAATGGAGGTATCAAAGAAACATGGATGGGTCATACCCTGTTAATGGTGGAGAAGGCCTCATCATAGTCCCTCAGACTTTTGCCGAAGCTGAACTAAAGCCCCAGTAAATTAAGCAATTTACCCAAATTGGCACAACTGGTAAGTTTTCTAACTCCTGTCTGCTGACTTGCCATGAGGAACTCTCCATCAGTTTAGCAAGACAAGGAACTCTAGGCTGTTTGAAAGTGAGCCCTTTTATTTGAAACTTGAAAGAAGGAAAGGATTCCTCCTTTGTGGAAGCTGGTTTAATGGGACACAACTCACTCATTCACCAGATCATCATTCTATGAATGTATATGTCAGGC